TTTATTTATTTATTTATTATCTTTATATCCAACTCGGCTTAATGGAGACTCTCCCTTTCATCAAGGCCTATTTACTGGGCAGTAAGGGAGGAAAATACAGGAGGCACATTAAAGACATATGGCTGGGATCTAATGAAGCGCTGGGCCTGAGGCCAACAGGCATGAACTAGCCTAGTGGATGTAGTTAAAGCTTCTGTTCCCCTCAGTGGAACCTTTATCACGTCAAGTACTACGTTGTATCATAGATTGCTTCTGCAAGTTCTCTCAGTTTCGAAGGCAGTTTGCTGGGGGAGGGGTAATAAAAGGGTTGGGGTTCCTGCTCAAAATAAAATATTCTTTGGCGGGGAGGTCACCAAGCTGTTTTGTACAGTGTGGCACTTGGCTTGGGCTTCTGCTTTTTTATGTGCTGAATTAAAAATAAAGTTTTAATGAAAAATTCACTAAGCAACTGTGCCCGAAACGAACAGAGATTGATTGTGTAAAGAGGTGGCACGTCATTTGAAGAGTTTGTACCTGGACCAGTTGATGCAGGACCAGTGAAATGTTTCCTTCTCCCTGTGTGCCTTCGTCACATAAAGACAAAGGTTAGCATGTTCTTTGCCCCCAAACACTTGAGTATATCTCACAGCAGTGATCCATCCAGGCTGGAAACCACTGATTCTGTCAGCCAAGCTACTGATGTGACCTGTGCTTTACATAGTACTAGTGAAATGTTAAAGGCCAATGTGGGAGGCTGGTTTGCAGCATTCACACTGCAGAGGTTTGGTCTTACAATCATGAATACAGTAATAGTAATCTTAGAACTGCAGAGCTGGAAAGGATCCTATGGATCATCAAGGCCAGCCCTTCTTGAGGAGGCCCAGTGAGGGGAATCGAACTTTCAACCTCTTGCTCTTAAGCGAGAGACCTAAACCACTGAGCTCTCCAGAGTGTCATACATTAATTTTTCATTTAATTTTTTTTATTTTAACACAGGATTTTTAAGGTTTTGAAGAATAACATAAACATACATAAATAGTATAGTCATGAGTAATAAAACTAACCCAGATAAAAACAGCATGATTAAAAATTGACACTCACTGCAACAAGGGCATATGTATCCCTTATCAGGCAGAAATGCAAGTACCATGAATTTCTGCAAATGACTGAACTCATATGATGGAGACTTTTCTTTGTTGAATTTCCAGATGGGAAGATTGAGGTCTTCTTTGCTCTGAGCCTTTTCCCTCTCCTGCAAGCTTCAGCAAAATCTCAAGAAGACATAGTCTGTATTATTTGTTTCTTTGTTCAAATGCTGCTCATTTCACCGGAAGACACTGCATTACACTATGTAACAGTCACGTTCCCCGTCTGACCTGTGTTATATCATGTGTTCCCGTTTTTCAGCAGACTTCTCCCTCTCTTCTCTTAATGATACCAGTGCCGCCAGCCACACGCCAGTCAGAAAATCACCAAATTTCAGTGGCAGATGGAGAGGGTTCTGCAGATCTGTAGGAAAACAGACACCTAGACCTGGAAAAGGTTGGGTTTACGTGAACCCAGGTCTTGTACCATGCACGAATTTCCCCACACACACACACCTCATTCTTGGCAGTACAGTACTCGGCATGCAGTTGTCACCATTGCTAGATCGAAGCCTAGTGTGCTGGCAAATGTTGATTTAAAACCTGCTTTTTTAAAGGTCTGGCAGTGCTGTCCTGCTGAGTGTTCGAAATGGGATGACGGGGTCCCCAAGCTATTGCAGGTTAATTTTATAGCTTAAAAGGTGTTTGCAAATACAAAACACTGCTTTTGGGCTGTGCTTGACGTTGTGTAAAGGTGATGAGTGAGTAAGGACCGTGACCAACAGTTCACATTTTCAAGAGTAATAAATTTCTTCTCAGTCGTTTCTATGTTTCTGAAAGTGGTGCCAATTTCAAGACGGAGAGTACAATATTGTTTTCCCTGTAGTATGTGAGAATTTGAGTGCAGCCAACGACTTAAAAAGCACAGATGGTTTCATACTTAATTTTACAAAAGTGAATTGTAGCCCCCCCAAAAAAAAAATTGTTGAGCATTTTCAGTTTCCAAATTACCACTGAGTGGCTTTCCTGCAAAATAACCATCATTGTCAAGGTTCTAGTTGTTGTTTAGCCTATCTACCAGGAAACTCTTGGGGAAGGAAAGGTATAAATGATATACCTTAAGGACAGTAGTTGAGTTCAGTTTTGAGATTATGCTTAGTCTTATAGAAGAATCAGCATCATCAAATAATGTACCTCATTTTGTGCAAGTATTTTGTTTTTGTTCTAAGAGAAAAGGTACAGCTCAAGAACCCTGATGAAAGTTGAATTGTCTTGTAATCTAAGCAAAACGCCTGAGCGCAATCCAGTAACTGTGCATTTGAAGTTTAACAAGCTTAGAGAGCAGTGGAATGGGACACGGACTGTGTCCCACCAGTCCCATAACAGTTAGTCTCAATTTGCTGCATTGTGCCCTGTGGCCATGATTGAATTCAAGATGGAAGCGAATGTGTGTGAACCTGAAAGATCAATTATTCCGTTTCCACTGCCAAAGAAACAAGCCAATGTTCACTTGAGAAATTATTTCCCCTCTCCTTCTTTGTCAGTGGGAGCTCCTGAGGCAGAAAACAAAAAGGCACTGGCAATGTGTAGTTCATTTCAACATGTGTGTATCACTTACTTGGGCTGTGTATTAAGTTGTGCTACCAAACAGCAGGAGAATTGTGCCTCTTCAAATGAATGTTGTACAGAGGAATGTTCCATTTGTAAGAAAAGAGATCTGAATAAATTCACAACAATTACTTTTTAAAGTCATGTCGATTTTTTTTCCAAAGCTTCCCAATTCACATTAATGCAGCTTTATTATTTGTATACCTGTCCTAGTCATCCTCCACAAATTCAAGGGCCCTCCTTTTGTCACCAGAAGAACAATTCTGTATGTTAGACAGTAAGAGAGAGCTTCATGGTTAAGCAGAAATGTGACCCAAATCTTCCAAATCTAAACCCAGTGTTTGGCTTATTACACCGCCCGAGCTCCCTGCTGTGTCAGATCACATGGGGTTTGTTTGTGTTTCTTTATATTTATCATCTTTCTCTTCCTAGGAGGTCCAAGGCAGTTCACACCAATTAAAAACCTACAATAACAAGTTAAAAATACCATACAAAACAATGTATATAAAAATATTTTAAGATTAAGATCAAGATTAAAACAGTTATGAAAGCTTTTTTAAAAAGATTTTTAAAAGGAAAATGGAAGTAAGGAACTGCCTCACTATCCAGAACCTGGGGTAGTTTGGCTCTGCAGGGAAGCAGAGATCCAACAGATAGAAGTTCAACAGGGGAAGTGGAGAGACACAGCAGAAGATGTTCCTCTGGCCCACACACTCCACACACAGGATCTCCCTTCTCCTCCAATTAGGGATGTTGATTTGACCTGCAAATCTAGCTTGCATGCAGGTATCCCTGTATCATAGGCTACTTAAGGCAGTGGTGGCTATCATTGGGTTGGGTCAAGGTTTAATCAGACTTTGAGTGTGTTTGGTTGTCTTGATTCCTACTGATTTCAACAAGTGTACTCGACATTTGATCAAGTCTTGATCCAACCTATTCAGGCCTCAATTCTAAACACACTTACTAGGATGTAAGCCTCGCTGAACATGGTACAAACAAACTTAAAATTGTTCTTATCCAGAGACTTTAATCCCAAAATGCACACAGAATTTTTGAAAAGATGGCCCTGGGCAAAGATGACATTATCTCCTTATAGACAAGGAGTGTCAGCTTAATTTTCTAGGCCTCCAGGATGCTTTGAAGCTACTGATTTGCTACAAATATACAGTGGTGCCTCGCTTAACGAGTGCACCGCATAACGATGAGATCGCATAGCGATCCGTTTTTTCGGATCGCTAATGCGATCGCTTAACGTTTTTTGAATAGGGCTAAATTCGCTTTGCGAAGACCGGTAAGCGTTTCGCTTACCGATCTTCGCAAAACGAAGCCCGATGATCAGCTGTTCGGCGGCCAAAATGGCCGCCGGAAGCCCGGAAATGGCCCAAAATGGCCGCGCGCAGCGTTTTCGCGCCCTCGTTAAGCGAGGTGAGGGCGCGAAAATGGCTGCCGGCCATTACGAAGCTTCGCTGAACGGTGAGTATTTGGCCCATTTGGCCCAATGGGTTTTTTTGATCCGTTCAACGATGCTTCAGCATAGCGAAGGTTAATCCAGAACGGATTAACCTCGCTATGCGAGGCACCACTGTACAGTGGGGTCTTGACTTAAGAACGGTTTGAGTTAAGAACATTTTGACTTAAGTACCACTCTCATAGAAAAATATTGACTTGACTTAAGTACTTAGATTTTGAGTTAAGAACTGAAAAAAAAGTACTGTACTGCCTGGACTGTATTTTCCCTGCCTTCCCTGAACCTTTCTTGACGTAAGAAAAAAAGAAACAAAAAAATTCCCCTCTAGTGGTCGAAGGCAGAATAGCAGCTTCCCATTAGTTTCTATGGACGGAAAAGAGCAGATACGGATCAAATGGTTTTCAATGCATTCCTATGGGAAATGCAGATTCGACTTAAGAACTTTTCGACTTGAGAACCACCTTCCAATACGGATTAAGTTCTTAAGTCGAGACCCCACTGTACTGTACTGCCTGGACTGTATTTTCCCTGCCTTCCCTGAACCTTTCTTGACGTAAGAAAAAAAGAAACAAAAAAATTCCCCTCTAGTGGTCGAAGGCAGAATAGCAGCTTCCCATTAGTTTCTATGGCCGGAAAAGAGCAGATACGGATCAAATGGTTTTCAATGCATTCCTATGGGAAATGCAGATTTGACCTGAGAACTTTTTGACTTGAGAACCGCCTTCCAATACGGATTAAGTTCTCAAGTCAAGACCCCACTGTACATGGAAGATACAGCATGTGGCCTGTGGCCTTATGTAATAGAGATTACGCCTCCTTAATTCCAAATAAAAAAGTGTCTCCAGACTGGAAGATAAGAAAAAAGCATTTTCTCTGTTAAAGGCCAGAATCCTATTAGATTTACATTGTCATAAGTGTGATTGCTAAAACTGCAGCAGGGAATTGTCGCTAATTAACAAGTTACCACTCACATATCAAGTCACATCAGTGCAATATGTTTAGGAATGTGAGTAGTAATCTGTTAATTAGTAGCAATTTGCCACTGCAGTGTATGTAGCTACACTTAAATGGCAGTGTAAAAATCTCCAAGAGGGTTCTGGTGAGTTTTATTCAAGTTTCTAACATTAGAGACACATCCTTATCTCCGATTTGTGTTTCTGATGCAGAAGCTTCATTGTGCAGAATGCATACACTGTACAATGCTATTATTCAGCCCCATCAGTATTAAAGACCATTTTCACCAAAGGTGATGATGCTTCATGCATTTCATGCAAGTGCAAAGGCATTTACCATGCTATACACACACACAGCAAAGAGCACACAGGACCAACCATTCTGGTATCATAACGCAAAGTTTCCTGCATGTGTGTGTGATGGTTTTGTTTCCCTATTTATAGTTGTTCAAAACCAGCTCTTAGCAGTGAACTGCCCTTAAATAGAATGTCACTATATGGGTCAGAATATAGGCTTCTGTCCATTTTTTAAAAGTACATCTGAAGAAGCAGACAGCAGACCATGGATGTTTATGCCAAATAAAACTTTCTAGTCTTCAGGGTGCCATAAGATTATGTTTTAAATAGGGTAGACTCAGAGAAATTCAACAGATGACTTGAAACTGCATTAATTGTAAGTCCTGTGGACTTTGTAATTATGTTTTAAATAGGGTAGACTCAGAGATTCAACAGATGACTTGAAACTGCATTACTTGTAAGTCCTGTGGACTTTGTAAAACTTACTCCCAAGCTGAATGCATAAAATTGTGTTGCTGAATTCTATGTTATTTTATGCTCTGAAACTGTTCACAGGCTAAATAAACCATTAACACTATGTTTAAAAGAAACGGGGGAAAAAATTAAGGACAGAATCCTGGTGGGGAAACATGGGTTACAAGGTCAATTCCACAAGAGGCTCCCCTGGTGGGCGGTGTGCCTTACCTTGCTGTGCACATCCTGTTGTACACCAGATGTGACATCTTGGTTAATGATTAATCTTACAGCCTGCCCAAGGGAAGGGAAACTGCTATGCATGGCTTGTTGCAATAGGATTTTGGCCCATGTGCTTGGGCAAGAATCTACATCCAAGAGAAACATCAGCCATTTACTATGCCTTCTAAAGGAATAATTCTGTAATGAAATGAGGTGGGCACAAATAACTTTGTCACACTTTGTACGTGGCACCATAGGTGCTGCACAGGCCCATCTCAAACTCCCCAGGTGGCCAGGCCGCTCACTCTGCTTTGTGTGCCACCTGGGTCCTCCTCCTCCAGTGGTGCTCCTGTCAGGTCAGTCAACAGCACCTTTAGCACATATTGATGGACACAGATTCCTATGGGCCAGCTCTGGTTCTTGCTTGAGGGCAGTGTATTCTTTGCCTGATAAAAAGAATATCATCCGCAAATAGTATATCTGGTTCTTGCTTGAGGGCAGTGTATTCTTCTTTGCCTGATAAAAAGAATATCATCTGCAAATAGTATACTCAAGTGACAATGGCCTCTCTTGAAGTTCTCCCCTCCCCTAAAGAGCTGCTGTTGACATGAGTGCAGCTGATGGTGTAGATGAGTTACTGGCCACATGACAGTTCAGTGTAACCTTCCACACAATAAATCTTGGAAGACTTTAGTGACAGCTTGTACGGCCATTGATGCTGTCATTATTTAAGGAGTACTTTTACCAGTTCCACACCCCCAGTGAACTTCCATGGTTAAGCAGGGATTTGAATCCAGGCCTCCTGAGTCCTATCATTCTACCCAGTACACCACACAGTGTATCCTTTGCGTTGCATGGGGTGTTTGTGTGTGCTACACCACCCAGGCCCATGGGGATAAGAAAAAATGAGAGAGAGAGCAGGTGTTTTTGTTCATACAACCAGTGCATTATTTTGATTTCCACGTTACATGTTCACGAGTGTATACAAACTGCTTTAGGTAACACATCTGAGCCAGCTCTCTTTTAAGGACAATAAAGTTGTACACTGACTAGGTGTGGTTGTCTTTGGTGATCCATCAGGTGAACTTGAGTTAAGAGGAACATTTAACTGCTAGAAGATCCATGGCTGTTTCTACTTCCCAAGCTGACACGGTAGGGAGCAGAAGTGTTTGGGAAGGGTGACTCACCTGCAGAAACAGTGCCCTACACCAGTGGTCCCCAATCTTGGGCCTCCAGATGTTCTTGGACTTCAACCCCCAGAGATCCTGGCCAATAGAGGCGGTGGTGAAGGCTTCTGCGAATTTTAGTCCAATGCTAGTCCTACACAACTAACATTGGACACCCTGCCTTGAAGTCTACAGTTGCTCCAACTTAACTGGGACACTTCCAAAAGTGTCCACCATCATTCCACTGACCCTAACAACAGCATACGCAGCCTAATAGAACACTGACAAATGTGACATTTGGTGACCAGCACACTGAATAAATCATGAAAGACTGATGTTTCATATTAACAGCTGTATTTATTTCCAGTGAAAAGAACATGGAGACACCTCTTTTCCCATCCAGTATGGCCTATTGGGATTACCTCTAAAAAATGCTGGCTCCATGTTATGATTTTATTACTGCATATTTACAAAACAAGCAATGAATTTCTATTCTAAAATATAAAGGTAAAATGAAGTTTATTAGTCCAGCTGTTCTTCAAAATCAATTTATTAAACAATGACTAATGGCACGTTTATAGAAAAAAGGGTAGTGATGTTCATAAATTCATTCTTTCTATAAAAATCCATTTTTAAACCATAGATTTTTAAAAGGCCAAAATTCACACAATAAAAGAAAAATCCAAATACAGGAAAATTTGTAAGACATCAGACCATCACATGCAGCTTTTCAAAACAGTCATTCCTGGGGTGAGGAGGTTTTCAGATGCCATCGGCTTTGGTTTCATGACTTTCATGGAAGAGTCTGAAAGCTTTAGGATATATGCTATAAAGGCTCAGACCTACATTGTGGTGCTAAAGCTTAATGCACCCCAGAAAACTTCCTTAATTCTGTGCTAAGCACTTTCCTCAGCCCAGTCATTCAAGAAGGGAAGTTACTGTAATTGGGAGTAAATCATAATGATGGATCTCCCCATGTCTGTTGCTAGGTATGTACCTGGGATTCCTGAGTCTACCTATCCCAATAGTCCCAATAATCTGGAAAACTGTTCATATTGAATAAATACCCTTTAAAATTATGCTCCTCTCTAAATATTTCATTCTGCTTGAGGTTTACTTCCTTCCAGCCATGATCTTTAAATATTGTAGGGCATTGTGAGCAGCCACATTATAGGCATTGCCCCAAGAAATTCCAGTCCCATGGCAAACTGTGATTGGATTGGTTGAAATTTCTACAAGACATTGGAACTGTCCGTTCACACTGAGTTCCTCTGAAATTAAAAAAAACAAATGCGGATTATTGGATTTTTTAAAAAAGAAAGCAATAAAAACATGAATTTTCTTTTCCAAAATGGAACAACAGGTTCAATAACAACAACAATAATAATAGGGATGTACACTACTACTACTTACTACTACTACTACTACTACTACTACATACTGCTTCCATTAGTGCCACAGCACTACTCTGGGTGGTTCACATGACATAGCCAGGCGAAGCTCCTCTGGGAGCCGGTTCCACAAAGATCGAGCCACCGCAAAGAAGGCCCTACCTCTCATAGAAAGATTTATAGGCCTCCCTCAGCAGGCTCTGATCTAGATTCTAGCTAGGCTCATACAGTATTCTCAGATAAACCTTCTTATAGAAAGACTGGGAGGAATTCCAGTGGCTCTTCATAGAGTACTGGTTCCCTTTGGGCTCCTGATGGCCTTGGCTGTAACTCCCTGAATTCCTGAGATATGCCAAAGGTGGCTGGCCATTTTAAATTAAGGCTTCTGGGCTGTTCTAGTCCAAATGCACTTAAGGGCGGGCGATCTAGTATAAACCTCCTCTTGAAAAGAGAAGTGCAGGCCTCTTTCCCTTTGTGGAGAAAGGGGTGGAGTGACAAGGGCCCTTCCCAGAGGGCATGGCAAAACAACGTTTGACCAAGTAAAACGCTCAGGAATGACATTTCTCAAATGTGATTTTTTTTCCCCCAACATTACATTTTTTTGAGAGCCCTTTTCAGGCACTGGTCCAAAGCTAGAACAAATTCAATGTTTGTGTGTTATTGCTGAGCTGTAACTAGATCACCTGCCCATGGCAGAAGCTGCTCCAGTTTATATTGAAATCAATGGAATTTATGTCAAGACTAACTTTATTAAAACAAGTCCTAACTTAACACAAGCTCCTGTCCTATGCATATTTGCCAGAAAGTGATGCTTTATATCTAAGTAGGCTTGGATAGGATTGATGGACTGGATCCAGGCCAGGACTAGTATATGTTTGATAGTTCTGGAGACAACTGGATGTAGGGATTAGAACAGCTCCGTTATAATCCTAATTCTTCCCAGAGTTTCTGGCACAGTGCAAACAAACCATCACTTGGCATGGTTTGCTTTTGAGCATTTTGTGAAAACAGTAGGCTCTGCCCAAGGCATCTCGACAAACTAAGCACCGTAATGTTGAAATATCAAAATACCTTCTGTTCACCCTGCACAATCTGACCAATTCTCTGATTGCCACTAGCACTAGAGCTCTTAAGACATGATGATCCTCCTGAGGCTGGTAAACAACTATCCATCTCCATACATTTGGTACATTTCATCCAAAGCTATTCGTTCTGTCTGGATGGTGTTAAGACAAAAGACAATGAGAAAGAAGCTAAGTCTCACCCATGCTGACAGTTCTTACCGATGTTCAAATACGTTGCAGTAAAGCCCTGTTCGTCTGCAATTTCTCCAAGGAGCTGCACATAATCTGTATTAGGAATACTGAGAGGACTGATCTTCAATAAGGCAATTTTTTCTCCTGTGGAGTTCCTTAAGGTGTCCCATGTACATCCCAAATTATGACTCTGTTCGTTCCCCTGAAACAAATCGAGGGGTTGTTTTCTTGGCAGATATTCTCCAATACTGCATCTAATGAGGCCAAATACAAAAGAGGCAGGGCTCCTGCACTTTTATAGTAACTGTAGAAGAGGGAAAGTGATCCGCGGTAGTTTACTGGGCACGTGACTGCGAATGAAATGCCTTTTTCTGTGTAACCAGGGAAGGCACAGGAGCCCTGCCTGCCTGCTGGCCAGGAGCGTCCAGCCACTCTAACACCGCAAAGCAGAATGCTACATCAATGCTAAGTGGTAAGTATACGTAAGTAACAATGATCGTCCTTGCCATGTAAGTGCTTGGTGAGGAAATGAGTTTTCTTCCAGCTTTAAAGAAAGCAAGCACTCGTTAAGTTAGGTGATTGGACAAGCATGGCTTTTATGTATTTCAAAATATGTTACAAATATTCAAAGGCTGTCCAAGTTACATAAGCTGTAGGTTCTGGGGCACCAACACCCAAAGGGCTGCAAGATCTCCTAAGCCTACTCGAAAAACCAAGGGGGGGAAGAAGAACTCATTGGCTAGATGAAGGAAAGTGAAAGGTAACTGGCCAATAACTACACTAGTCAGGACAAGAGGCCTACTTTTTCAGTACATATATACTGTATGTAGCCCCCTGGGGAATTAAAAAAAGGGGGGGTTATTAATGATAATAAGATTGTGTTGTCATATTTGAACAACTAAACAGTTTCTGTAAAAAGTAGTAAATTACTTACTAAAGAATTTATAATACAATCTCCAGAAAAATTGTGGAATTTTTCTAATAATTTCTCAGCAGCATTTCGCTTGGCTAATTTTTTAGATGTCCCCATTCCTGCATAATGGAATAAAAGCAACAATAAAAACAACAACAGTATTAATATGAAAAGCAGTAGTAATAACCACAACATGATAAACAGAAGAAGATTAAGCTACCTATCCATAGTAAGCAACCAAGGCTGCTAAATTAAATAGGACCAACTCCTTGGTCTATGCTGCTGTGACAAATTTGAAACATACTTCTCATCATTCAACCTGTTTAGCTTCAGCAAAGACACGGGTGTTCAACTATAAAACCTGTGAGTTCCCCTCTTGCTATGATTCATCAAATCATGCACACCAAAAGGGAGGCACAGAGCTGAGGAAGGCTATAAAGGCAAGAACTAGGCTGAAACTAACCCTTGAAAGCACAACCTAATTTTAAAGTAGTTTCACTAGAACTCAAGATTTTCACTGAGCAGAGACTGACCAGGAAACAGTCTGAAAGAGAGGCCTTGCTTAAGGAAACAAGAGACAGAAGGAGCTGCGAGCTACTTGCTGGTAAAATGATACACACAGAGGTTAGAAGGGCCAAATCCCACACGTGCTTTCTAGTATCTCCTGGGACTTAACAGCAGTTCTGTTTGGAAGGAGACCTTGACATACACTGTAAGTAGCATGTGGTATGGAGTCTTGGTGAAGGGGGCTTAATGTAGAGAAAGCCTATAATAACTCCTCTTGAGAATTTTAGGAATTAAAAATCAGCTGCAGCTGTACAAGTCGCGGTGTGCAGTCTGGGGACTGCAGCTACTAACATTAACTGTGGCATTATAGCCAGAGTATACGATTCTTCAAATTTCAGATTACTTTCATCCTTAATTTTGATGATAAATTACTTCTGACAAACAGAATGGACCTGTGCTGAATGCAGAAGATGCACATGAGAAATCAAAGTTAATCAAAAGAAGCAGCTGTACAAGTCGCGGTGTGCAGTCTGGGGACTGCAGCTACTAACATTAACTGTGGCATTATAGCCAGAGTATACGATTCTTCAAATTTCAGATTACTTTCATCCTTAATTTTGATGATAAATTACTTCTGACAAACAGAATGGACCTGTGCTGAATGCAGAAGATGCACATGAGAAATCAAAGTTAATCAAAAGAAAGAAATCAAAATAAATAAATAAATAAATAAATAAATAAATAAATAAATAAATAAATAAAGTTATCCGTCTCTTCAGGTAATAGCTAAAAGGCAGGTGGTTTTTGCATTACAATGGTCTCTTTCCCGTTTCAATCTGGCAGCTGTACAATAGGACCTGGGCCATCACCTCGATTCATAAATACAACTGACTCTTCAGAATAAAAACTAAAAAACCACCAAACATCGAAGCATGCATTTTCAGGAGACTGTGGAGCAAAATTCCTCCAAGGGTAATGAATGACTGTGGATGGAAGGGAAACAAGAAAGCTCATCAGGAGACACCTAAGAGAACTTTGTGGCATTGTGCTTAACAGGGAGAAGGCTTCCTGAATAGGGATGCTTCCCTTCCTCCCGCCTCTCCAGCTCCGCAGCTTGGGATAACTAACCCAAGCAAGACGTGAGGGCAGAACATACCCGTAACTGTCCCCGTGTGCATGTGCCAGGATAGGGGAGCTATAGTGGCTTCCGGTGCCCTGTAGAGATCCACACATCTGTACATACCCACCGGTGCACAGAAAAAGTGTGGACCCTAGATGTTCCTAGGACAGACCCCACAGCACAAATGTACAGTACTAGAAATCACATGAAAGTACGTATGCTGACTTTTTAAAAATACACACCTCCTGAACAGCATGCACGCGTTTAGTTTAACTTTCACATTAACTGTTCTCATTCACGGTAATTCACAGCAGAATAGTACAAGAGAATAAAAATACTTTGAAACCAAAACTATACATAAACGAATATGGGCAATTCATTCAGATTATGTGTCATGTCATACTGAGAAGGAAAAAACAAGGTGGGGGAGAAATGGGTACCTGTTTCCACATGAGCTTCTATCCGGCAAATGATTGAAAATTCTCTCTGATGAGGTGGCCCCGTCTCCTTTGCCAGTGAATACTCGGGAAGCCTCCAACCTTTCTGAATAGCCAGCTCCTAGTGGGGGAAAAAGATTGGCCAAAGAAGTGTTTAGCCTGACCTTAAAGCAACAGTGACGGTGGCAGTCTTCACAGTCACAGCTGCAGAAACAATGGGGATGCAGAAAGACAGACAGACATACCCCATCTAAAATCTTCCTTCTTGGTCCTTTTGATTACATGGGCCAGCCAAATTATATGTTTTACATGTTTTCTGAAGCTATGCCTGCCCCTGAGTGAAGGAAGTCAGTTTGCCAGATCATCTGCTTTTAATCCCTTGGCCCCAGGTGTGGTGGAAACGTAGAATGTCTTGATCTTTTATACACAGCATACTACACTAGACTACACAACTCAGAAGGTCTGAGTTCAAATTCCTGCACAGTCATGCAGATTCACTGGAGGGGGTGTGTAAACTGGTTAAAATGTTCCTTAAATATCTTACATACCTTGAAATCCCTATCAGGGTTGCTATAAACCGGTTCTGAATTGACAGCACCTAACAACTTTTACAGTTGTTCATTCTGAGATAAAAGTGGGATTCTCTTGTGAGTGTGGTTGCTGATACATGCACCTTTTAAGATAATTACACTGTGAGAGGAAAAACAGGCACATTCCCCTTAATGCCTAGCTTGACACTGACAGGTTTGGGCGAAACCTGATAGAATTGTTAATCAAATTTTGTACATGACAATAAGTAATTGTCAGGATCAGTACTGTAAAGAGAAGCAAAGCTTGAAAGTATACAACTGAGGTGATTGGAACAGCTGTGAATGGGATTGGTCATCTATGGGATAAAACTAGCAGACCAAGCATACACAATCTGTGGGTTGTTGAGGGTTGTTGTTGGTGATGCTGGTTGGTGTATTCGTGGAGAAGAGTCGTCTTGTTCCTGTGCTGGAGAATCCTGGAGGGAGCCGTGTCTACGAGCTTGGAATTGAAGAGGAACTCTGACTACCTGGTATACGACTACTGAACTTATTTACTGGACATTGAAACTGATATATGCACTAAACTCTGTGGAAACTATTGTGCATTACTTTGGGACTGAGAACAAAGACCTAGCTGTAAATATACTTGTATATTCTGTAAATGATACAATATCTGCTATCAACACTACTCTGGTGCTTGGCATATTCATCATCTCAGGGAAGATTTTTTTGGTTATCACACCCTCGTGTGTACCTGTACTACCGCTACTCTGTCAGACACTCAGTCTAGACAAAACCCAGTGGGACGTATTTCTCAGTCAAAACAACAGCCCAGTAGAAAACATTGCTCTCACAAATGCAGATGCTGGGAGCGCAGCAAAAACTTGTTATGTATCTCATTCACTGAAAATGTGGCTGTTGATATGCTTCCACAGACACATGCATGAGAAATCGTGACCAAGGTCTCTTTCCTTTTCCATCATACATTTTGTACTCACTCTGCTTGGCTTTATATTGCTTATTCTCTACGTTCATTCCTGGTTGCCAACATGAGTTTTTATGTCCTATTTTATTCATTTGTTTCATCCCTATGCATCCTTCTCCTTCCTTCTTCTCTTCACTCACTTGAGCTACCTAATTCCGACTGGTTGCCTTATTTTCTTTCACTGGGACATAAAAGAGGAAAACATGCTTTGTAACTATATGGATCTGAAAGTCCTTTGTTGATTTTATTCATGATATATGTTGTAACTTTGATTCTGATTTTTGATTTTGTGTCTGGTAACACAAAATCTGTTACTGCTTGTTGTCATTTTTGATTTTATTTGTCTAATAACGTTTTCTATTTTTGTGTCTTGTTTTTTGAGTGTAAATTGCTCAGAGTGGCCCTGTAGACAGTATAGGTGGTATAGGAGTCAAATGAATAAATGGATGAATACTTTAGTACAAAAAAATAACTTTTGACTCTAAAAACCCAAAGACAGACTGTATAGATTTAAAACAAAAACACCTGGTATATATGGAATATAACTGTAACTTGGCACAGCCATCTTGAATCTCACTGCCAGGAGAAAGGCAGCGTAGAAATGCAAACCAATCAATCCAACTTACCTGCAATGAACCTATGGGATTGGTCTGATTTGGTGGTTGATTGGATGGTTCTGGGATTACAGGGTCTGGTACAGACATACTAAAATGAACGAAGTAAACTTAAATTACTGATTTAGTGTTTATGATTGACATCACTATAATAATAACTACTAGGACCTAAATGAGAAATAATATGAGATTGAGATTATCCCATAGGTTAAGATCAGATAAAAGAGTCCTGGCATGCAAAAGATTGACATATTTATTACAGCATGAGTTTGTGGATGATAGTCCACTTCATATAAGATGCTGAAAGGAATTGCAGACATTGGCTGAAATCCTTTCCTTTAGTATAGCGAGTCTACTGGAGTAGACCAATTGAAGAAATGAAACTTTCAGAGAAGTTAACACACCATATCCCCAATAGGCCTACTCTAGGTTCAGCTTACTATGCTAAGCATTTCAGCCAATGGAATCTAAGGGCAATTAAACACAGAAAGAATTGACAGTGATATTATTAATAATGAACTTTCACAAAATCGCCACTGACAACTTTCCTGGCACTAAGTAAGCCAATTAACACACATAGCATGATAACAAATCTTCCATCTTAGTTCAAGTCTTGGCTGATAAAACTAGAATGGCATGTGATGAAAGGTTGTAGCCGATGAATGTACGTGATATAATAAGATGCAGTCCTTAAGGTGCCATGTGATTATAGTTCCATTGCAACAGATAACATGAGCTAACCCTTTAGCCATGGTCTGCTGTGACAAAACTAGCCCTTTGGCCACAGACGGAGAGACCACCACTAATAAAAACATCATGAGAAATAGCTCATGGACTTTTCAGCACCACAGTGACTATATACGTCTTACAGTGTCTGAAGACTGTATTTTGCAGTTTGGGATTAAAACTTCCCCATACCCAGCCCACAGGGTTCAGTCATACTGACTGGGAAATGTTGGGAGTTTCTTCAAAAAGTAATTTTTCCCAGCACTGTATCTTGCTAATATCTGCCCTGGCCAAAGAAAGAAAATTACAAAAAGATCGTCTTATATAGATAAGACAGCAGAACTGATTGAACAATTATGTAGAAAAGTAGCAGAGACTGGCTATTGTTTTATACTGGAAATACCAAAACGAGCACAAATTCTAAACAGGATCTAAGCTTGGTGCATTTGCAGTAATGCCACAGCAGTACATATGCAGATAACTGAATAACAAGACTAAAAAAAAAACCCCTCATATGCAGAAAAACTATACTTTATAATCAAGTTTCCATAAAGTTATAACTTCACGAAAAGTGATAGATACCGACCTATAATGCTGTCACAAAATTGTACCTTTATTACATTCTCAAATTCTAGAAAAGAAGAATGATTTTTAGGGCAGTAACTTTTTTAATGTTACAATGGATCAGGACTCTCGCACAAGTTTGTTTCACCACACAGACACCTAAGAGGAAAATGGCCCTAGAACTTGAACCCTTCTCCTATAATTTTAATGGAGCTTGTCTCTCCGAATTAAGTGAGTTTACTATCACGGCTTTCGTCTCTTTGGTACTTGTACAGCTCTTCTCCAAAATAAATTATTTACATTTTATTTTCCAGCAATTCTCATTCAGCGGTAACTTCAGACCTACACTGGCATACAATCAGCTCACTCAAAAAGTGGGGAGGGGATGTGGACGTGCACACAAGGCCTTCCCCTCTGGCAGATGCTTCTGGATCAATCAGGATTCCCGAGGAAGCCCACAGAGGAGTCCCTCTGCGTTATCGGAAACACCACAAGAACATTGCCCCTCACTGGAAGGTGTGGGACCAAAAAGTCAAGGCAAAGGTGGGGGGCAGTGGGTCTGCATGCATGCCCACATCCCTTCCTCAGTTTTAGCCCTCAGGTAAGTAGGAGACTCTGTCACAAAGGTTGAAAGGAAACTCACCAAATATGGGAACTCTCTTTCAAAATGGTCAGTGCAGCTTCTGCAGCTCTGTGTTTTGCAACTTTCTTGCTGGGACCTTCTCCTGGATTCATCAAAACAAAAGAAAAAAGCACACCTTTGTACATGTGGTTTTTAGTAGAGGACGGAGATATGAAAAAAACCACCTCAAACCTTGCGCTCTTCATGTCAGGGATGACTCATGATCTGAGCAGGAGAAAGCTCACCCTGTCGTGCTGGGAGGGAGAGAGATGTCCCAGTGTTAAAATGATGGAGCCCTGCTAGCTGATATATTGACTTTGAAATAACTTTCACTCCAAGCTAATGTAGTTTTCAGGATTTAAAGCAAGAGGTGATCAATGTTTCTAGTCTTACAACCAAATATGCATTCCTAGAAACCTGCCACAGACTGCACCAGAAGACCCTGTGAGGGTTTTGCCCATTCCTGCTTTAAGGGTTGCAATCCTGCATGTGTTTACTCCCAAAGTTCTGTCACTATATGTCACATTTATCATGGGGGGGGGGGAAGAACTGCTCTCAAACAGACCCATTCCAACATTCTTCTCCCCCCCCCCCAAGATGATGAAAGAATCAATCTTCTCCTGTTCTGCCAGAGCGAGCCCTGGGAAAGAATCATGGGGTTTGTTTCTACACATCACCACATCTGCTCAGCCTCAGGGTCTCCAACTTTATGCCTTAAATGCAAACTTCCAGAAAGGACAAGATTCTGCAGCAGACATTTTCCCCAGCAGTAAATACTTCATCCTGGAGCTTTCCAAATGCCTTTACTCACGATGGAGGCTGCAGAGGCATATCCGTACTGATGGCCATATTTAAGCTTCCTCTCAGTCCAGCTTCTTGGAAGTAGGAGAAGTCCATAGAGTCCCAGTTCTGCAGTTCTAAGATGATTATATTATTCTTATTATTAAGAAAAATCCTCTTCCCCTTCTAACTCCCAAGGCTTTTCTACACATTTGGGGAGCTGTCCCCATTCGTGAACCTTGCTTATCAAAGTGTTCCTTGCATAATTATGATGTAAATCACCCACAGAGTGGGTGTACGGAGTGGAATGTAAGTCAAAACAACAACACTAATTCTGCCCTGACCATTTGTGTGTTCAGAACAAGTTGACATTACCCATTTTGTAAACAGCAGGAGTGAACTAAACAGAAAAACCCTTTCATTCTTCCAAAAATGAACACACAGGCCATGCGATTCAGAAATCAAAGACAGAAATCACAGCCATGGGCAATGCTATCACTAACCTGTTGCTGTTATATCACCTACGGTGACTTTAAAGGTGAAGAGTGGCATATGTACTTCTCCCTCCGCTTTTTCAAATTCATATATAGGATTGAGATTAGCTTTTGAGCTGTATTCATGTAACAGCTGGATTGGTGTTTTCCCTGGTTTGGCTGCAGGAATCTCCTCCATGCTGCTCAGAAAACCAGAAGACAAAGTTATTAAATACTTTGGGAGTAAACATGAAACAGTTGCTTTGAAGCACACCTTTTTAAACAACCCTCCCTCCACCAACAGATCTAAGCACTGTATAAAACATGAAGCCCTTTATATTCAGTTATAACTAAATATGTGTGTGTCTGTCTGCACATGTGCACACAAAAGGCCAAACTACAACACATTTCTGAATATATGCAACCAGATCTCCTGTTTCTATTAAACAAACAAACATGAAGAATGGAGGATTCTGGATACATGTGGTTGCACTGGGAGATTTAATTCTCCAATCCTCAGCTGCTGTTTGGTCCACTGCTAAAATTTACAGGAACCTTCTTCCCCACCCAAGCTGAGGTGGTGTTACTTATTCATTTTGATCTTTCCTGCAACACCATGATCCCAATTCTAATTGACACCATGATCCCAATTTCTGCTGGTTTAGCTTTAAAATTTATAAAATGTAACTGACAGAGTTTGTGCACATCAGTTTCAAGCAGTATGATTTAAAAAAACACACCGAGTAAAAATTGGTATCTTCTCTTGTGTGCGTGTGTGTGCATGCATGGATTTAAAAGTACATAAATGATCACTTGGTCTTCATTTGAAACATTAAAGAACTTTTACTGTTTAAGAACACATGTACTGTACTGTAGAATAAACTCACAGTGCTTTTGACATTTGGTATTTTATACATAAACTTGCCCTTGACTTAGTTATGTTCCTATAGCATCCTTAAATTTGACAGAAGTAGTTAGCCTAACAGACAACTAACTCTCACATTCTAATACTATACCATGTTTGATCCTATCTGACAAAATGATATCTTATCACATATCTACCACCTATTTGACTGCTAACTGCTACTTGCTTTATATATCTATGGGGTTGTTAATCCTCTTAACATTTACTGGCTAATGCTGGTCTGATTCTGATTGGTCAGAATGCTTCACCATGCAAGTACCACATTCTAGTCCTTTCCAAACAAACACATATACATATACATGTTGTGTTGTATAACCATGTCTTCCAAGATTTCCACAGTTTTGCATTGCAAAAATATAAAGAAAGAGAAGATCAGGCCCCAACGTTGCCATATCTTGTCTACTTTGGCTCTTCTTTTCCTCCCCACCCTTCAGCTCTGCACTGCACAGCCTATAAACAGAAATCCTTATCCATTCGCAGTTACTGTATTCTAAAAGCTTGTCCTGGGCTGTCTATCTGAAACGTAATCCTTATGTACTGCTGGAACAAAAGCAACAAATCAAGGTAAAGAGCAGACTAATGTTTTTTCATAGCTCTATACAAGGATGTTCACAAAGATTTTAAAGGAAAATTCAGGAACAGCAAAAGAAAATTTGCTTACAGAAGAAAGAATACTGGACAAACCAGCTAGACAAGAAGCATGTCACGTACAGTTTTGTGCATACTAGATATGTAAAACAGGAGTGGAAATGCAAACCTCAGAAGATACATTTAGTCTGTTCCACACGAGAGCTATGATAAATTTATTATATTAGACTATCAAGAGTCTAATACAGTATAATAAAGAGAAAAAGAGCAAGGGGAAGAGTAGGAGAGGAATAAACTCAATGGACAAGAGGCTCAATAACATGCCATATACATTAAGGTAAAACTCCCACAGATACACTTTTTCTATGTGGGAAGTTATTCTTCCCATGATGAACGCCTCCGCCCACAGTAACTCCTGAGGTGCATTTCCCACACATCTGCAAACGTCCTTCTGCCCTTTACATATGATCAAAAGAAATTGCTGCTACAGTTTTCCTTTGCTTGTTTTTAATAATATTTCTTAATCAGCTTTGGCATCCAATATTTGGGGGGGGGGGAGGCAGAACAGAAGTGCTTCGAATAAAGAGGTGTGAGACTGCACTACTAAAAATCAAGCAACTTTTCCAAAATAATCCAAACCAAAATGTGAGGCTGACTTAAATAATAATCATCACATGGCGACCTTTTCCAAGGTTTTCCAGGTAGACAGTGCTGAGAAGTGGCTGACCCTTCCCTTCTTCTGTGGTTGCCCTGGGACTTCTGTGCAGCTTGCCCAAGGCCACCCAGGGACTTAAATTAAAAACCCATTTAAATCGGCAGTTTTAACTTGGGGGTCTCGGCTACCTGGGTGGCTGGCTAACAAGATCTATCTGCAAGTCCGCCTTTAAGTCCCCTTCTAAGCCCCAGTTCGGGACGCAACATCGGAAAGGGACTAAAGAAACCCTCAAAGGGCGAAAAGGACAGGAGATCGTTGGTCCCCCCCTTTTTTTTCCCCAATTCTGGAGCGTAAGGTGTCAGCCAGAGGCCAGCCGTCTTTACCCTCGGGTGAAGTGTGCTCAGGGTCGCGGTCCCGGGGAAAGTGGGGTCAGGGGGCTGTGGATGCAGGTCACGTGTGCTTCCTGACAGGGCACCCCGGCGGCGCCTGGAGGGCAATGGCCGCGAGGGGGATTCTTCCCAGGTTGCAGGATCGCACCCGGACTCATCCCGGCCGGCCCAGAGAAGGCGGCATTCATCACCCAGGAGAAGACGGAGCAACCGGCAGGTACCTCGGAGAGCCCCCTTCCTCCCCCCCCCCCCCCCCCCCCCCCCCCCCCCCGCCCCTGAGGGATTTCTGCGCCGCCGGGGATGAGCTGCGCGCCTCGGCGCCCGGGAGGGCTTCCTGGGGGGCGGCCTCTATCTCCGCCGCCGCCTCTTCGTCCTCCCCCATCCTCGCTTCCGGCCAAAAAGCCTCGCTCTCGCCGGCTCGCCTTCCTCTTCTCGCGCACACACCGTTGGCGCTGGTCACGTGTCCAGCGAGGGCGCGACGGTTGGTCCCGGCGGTTCGTCGGGGAGGCGGGAGTGGTGGGTGAGGGAAAACAGCAGTGTTTGGAACAGTATACAGTATATACTATATGGATATATATATAGTATATACATAGTTTTTTTGGTTAAAGCTTGTATCTGTTATATAATACCAGTCAATGTTTTTTATAATTGACGGTGCCTGGTGTTTTTGAATAAGAATAAGAATAAATCTCAGAACTGCCGAGCTGGGAAGGACCCTCTGGATTAGGTTTGCCAGATACATGTGTATGAAAAGGAGGACATACATAGAAAGCCAAAAAGGCGGACATATTAAGGGGGGGCTCTGTGCACAGGGTGGGGTGGGGGGCATGTCACTTTTGGACCCTTGACAGCATCTTAAAAAGCAGAGACATCGCCTTGCCAACAAAACTCCAAATAGTCAAAGCTATGGTTTTTCCTGTAGTGATGTATGGAAGTGAGAGCTGGACCATAAAGAAGGCTGACCGCCGAAGAATTGATGCCTTTGAACTGTGGTGCTGGAGGAGGCTCTTGAGAGTCCCCTGGACTCCAAGAACAAACCTATCCGTTCTGAAGGAAATCAACCCTGAGTGCTCACTGGAAGGACAGATCCTGAAGCTGAGGCTCCAATACTTTGGCCATCTCATGAGAAGACTCCTTGGAAAAGACCTTGATGTTAGGAAAGTGTGAAGGCAAGAGGAGAAGGGGATGACAGAGGATGAGATGGTTGGACAGTGTCATCGAAGCTACCAACATGAATTTGACCCAACTTTGGGAGGCAGTGTATCTATTGTATCTGCCTCATCCCTTCCTGTGCAGAGTAGAAAAGAAGGAGCAAGCCATCAAAAGGCCCCCTGTGCCCTCTGTCCCTCCAAGGGACCAGGTTGGCAGGCTGAACTGTCCTCTTTGATTTGATGATGTGGAAGGCTGGTCTTTTGTTGTTTAGTCGTTAAGTCGTGTCCAACTCTTCATGACCCCACGGACCAGAGCACACCAGGCCCTCCTGTCTTATTTATTTATTTATTTATTTATTTAATTTATACCCTGCCTATCTGGCCCACCGGACCACTCTAGGCGGCTTCCAAATATAAAATCAAATAATAAAACATAGACAAATACATAATAATCAAA